GTAGTAGGTAGTAGGTAGTAGGTAGTAGGTAGTAGGTAGTAGGTAGTAGGTAGTAGGTAGTAGGTAGTAGGTAGTAGGTAGTAGGTAGTAGGTAGTAGGTAGTAGGTAGTAGGTAGTAGGTAGTGGTAGTATTAGTAGTAGTAGTAGTAGTAGTAGCAGTAGCAGTTGTAGTAGTGTGCTGTAGTATCAATAGCAGTAGCAGGAGTGGTAGCAGAAGCAGTATCAGTAGCAGTGGTCCTAACAGGAGGAGTCGGAGTTGGAGCGAAGTAGGAGCGGGAGTAGGATCAGGACCAGCTGACTTCAACGGCGTGCTTCACAGGCAGGTTTGCACTGCTACATTTACGGGTGCTGCTACTGCAGGCCATAACACTATCAACACTACGAACAGCAGTACTGCTACACTTGTCAATTTCTGCCAGAATGTAGACAGCAGTAGTGGAAGTAGCCGCAGGCATGACACCGAAACACCTTCGCGCATTATAGTAGCAAGAAAGCTCCGTCTAGGTAGTAACGGCGGACCAAGGACGGCGGACCAAGGACATCATGCGGAAAGGAGGCAGAACACCGAACACAGACTCCATTGCAGCAGACAACAAGATGATCCAAACATGAATGGCAACGCACGACCTTTTAAATCTCCCACGCCTTGTGAAAGTTGAAGATGAGGTCCAGCTCACAGACATTGCCGAAGTACCGGTCAAGGCACTCTACGAAATGATGGACCTGGACGGGCATGCGCAGGGACGGTGCAGGCAGCGAGGTTGGAAAACAAGTACAAGAACCAAGTGGTGGTTCTGGTGGTAGCGGTAGTAGTGGTGGTAGTGGTAGCAATAGCAATGATAGCAGTAGCAGTAGCAGTAATAGTCGTAGTGGTGGTGGTGGTGGTGGTGGTGGTGGTGGTAGTAGTAGTAGTAGTAGTAGCAGTACCAGCAGCAGTAGTGGTAGCAGTACTAGTGGTAGTGGTAGTGGCAGTGGTAGTAGTAGTGGTGGTAGTAGTGGCAGTAGTAGTAGTACTGTCGTAGCCGCATCAGCAGCAGTAGCAGAGTAACGGTGAATGGTGGTGCTTCTCCTTCCGCTGCTAGTCGTAATCGGTCACGAAAATTCAATGCTGCTGCCGAGCCGGTACTATCACTCCAGGTTTCTGGTGTGCTGCTGCTCACGATTACGACGGTGACGACTCCAAAAGCGTGCTGGCCATCTGTGATGATATGTTGTAGGCCGGAATGGCCGCCCTCGGCTAGTGCTCTGTAGCAGAAAATCTCGCCAAGCTCCCCGCGGTTTCAAGAGCAAGAAGCTCGTTGTCCGTGTTCTCCACACACGCAATGAAGAAGAGGCTGGCGCACGGGCAACACTTCGGTGGACTTAGTATCGAAAGAGATCCAAAGATTACACTATCCAGTTGGTTATGCTTGTCCCGTTCATTGGAAAGCCGCGCCTGCTCCAATTCTGGCGAGCCGCAATCCGTAAACCCCCAAATGCTACCCCCCCCTGCCCTGATCACAAAACCCCTACATTATGTCATAGTATATAATATTATAGTATAGTTCTATTATATTATATTAAATTATATTCTATTAAATTATATTATATTATATTATATTATATTAACCCCTAAGGTCTGACCTGGCGTAGCGCTTGTAGCACAGCTTGTAGTCCCGCCACTCCAAGAAGTTGCAGACCTCGAGGACCCAGGGGTTGAGACGGTCAGGGGCCTGGAGTCTCTGCAATGGTCAACCCATGGCAAACCCCCCAAAATATGCATTGCCTGTAGCCAAAAAGACCTACCTTTTTTGGGGGTTCCTTGTTATAATTTCTATATGTAGGTCCTTGAAAAGGTAGGTCTTTTCGGCTACAGGTAGAGTTTAAGAATTCCCTTTTTTCGTGGAATCTCGCGCGCCACGAATTAGTGAAGGTCTTCTGAGCTGGGGACCTTTGGAGATCTGTTGAGAATTAGACTGCTCACCTGGCGCGAGAAAAAGGCCAGTCGGCATGACGAGTCTGGGACCCGGTTGGCAATAACTGTTCGACCCGCTCCATTGGGATTGCTACAGATCATCGCCAAAGCACCAATTAGTAACTACTGGTAGTGGGAGACACTGGTAGCATAAAAGTCACGCCCAATTTCTGGGTACTAGGTGAGACCGTCCGTAGCTTACTCACGTGACGCAAATACTTCTAAACTCTCAGCTTCCGTGTTCGAAAGCATCTGATCCCAACGAATCGAAGACCCCAAATAAAAACAAAAAACAGCTCAACTCTCCCCCGCCTTCCAGAGACTGCATTCATATTTATGTAGTTACTTGTTATGTATGTACATATATATAATACATACACATATATACACATAAAACATGCATACATACACACATATATATATATACATACATACATATACATATATATATATACACACACATGTCTATATGTATGCAGATGTGCATGGGGAGATATGGTCATAGATTAAGATATGGACTGGTATGCCAGTTAGGTAGGTCGTCTCCCTACAGGCCCAACACCACCAAAACCCTGAACCCGAAACTAGAACCCGCCCAGCCGCGTCCAATTCTACTAAACCCTAACCTCCACGTGCGCCTCCTTGATAGTCCTAAACTGATCTCGCTCTGCACAGGGCACAAACCACTTCTTGAGCCTGGCCGATGTCGGGGTTGAGGCTACCAGGCTTTAAGGTACAACGACAGCAATATTGAAGTTCAACGGTACCGACAAACACGAACTACGTTGCCGATGATTGATAAGTAAACCGCTACTTCGAACTGGAGGGTGCTAAGCATGAAGAACTGATATTGGCAATCAACGGTAGCAGAGAGAGTCTTTCCGGGCTTGGGGTTTGGGGCCTTGCCGGCTTTTGGATCTTGGGACCTGCATGATCCGTCCGTGGGCGTGTTCTGCGGAAGACTTCCTACCGAAGCCGAGGAGCATGCCTTGTGGGAGTAGGGGTTTGCCTTCCCAAGCAACGTGGCGGTACAAGTATGATTCTTGGAAGCAGGTATCTCCGTCCCACTAAAGACGGACTTTCCGCCCCTAGCCATGTCTGGTTCCCCGTTGGGGCCATACTAACAATGATCATTGTTAATCCTTACTAGGGTTTCATTATAACAAACATGTAAAATTGTATCCAACAAGGACCCAGATGTTACACGAGGCGACGATTTTGCCGCTCAACCTTGTGTTATGCAGCTGCATGACAAGGGTTACTTGCAATCTCACCACGATCCGACCCCTAGTCATGCCGGGAGGGCCGGGTCTTCCCTTGTCGACTGATGAGGAGGATGAATTGGATCATCTGCCAACATCGTGTGAGCTGACGAGTACATCATGGTTTGCAGTCTCCAGTCGCAGCCCCGCAGCACCTTGCAGCCTTCCAAGTCGCCCGGTGTGATGCAAGACTCGGCTACCGCGTCCCCTACCTTCCTAGACTTCAACCTACTTCTTGAGCCTTTGCTGGTGGCTACGACAATCACGTCAGGGTCCAGGTCAGGCGTGCAATGCTACCATCTACCTGTTTCCCGGACAGCCATGTACGGCCAGCTTTTCGTCTCGCAAAGGCATGCCGCATTGATTCGGCAGGCTGCTGACCTGCTCCTCGAAGAACGTGAAACCTGTGCGCAACCAAGCTCAACGCCTGCTCAGCAGCAGCGCTCCCCAACAAATGAGCAGATGCTGCCATATGACGAGGAAGAACCGGACCTTGCCCGTCGCGCAGATCACTGCTGCATACTGCTGCTGGGTCCAGCCGAATCCAGCCACTTGCTCAACACGGAGGAGCAGGGGAACTATACCCCCAAGGCAAGAACTCATCACAGTTGGTCCAAGGCTTCCAGAGTTTGCTGCCGAACTTCGGCTTGTGGCATCCTTTGTGTATGCGGCGCTCCTGCTGTCATGGTTTGCAATTGCTAGCCGAAGCGAGCAAGAGGGAGCAAGTTGTGTGTGTGTGTGTGTTTGTGTGTGTGTGTCTGTGTCTGTGTCTGTGTCTGTGTCTGTGTCTGTGTGTGTGTCTGTGTCTGTGTCGGTGTCTGTGTCTGTGTCTGTGTCTGTGTCTGTGTCTGTGTC